CTTGCCATTCCCAGCAACGTCAGGGCTGGGGGAGGGCAACTCCGAGCCCGGAGCCCCTGTGGCAGGCTCAGTGGGAAGCTACACGGCTGTCCCCCTTAGGGCAGGGGTCTCCAACCTTTTTAAGCACGAGAGCACTTTTTGAATGTAAGTGCAATGCAAGATCCACCTCATATATAAATACCCTGGCCCCTTCTCCAAGGCCCCACCCCTGCTATCGCCAAGCTCCCTCTCTTGCCCATCCTCACTCACTTTCACCAGGCTGGGGCAGCGGGTCGGGGTGCAGGCTCTGGTCTTGAATTAAGGGATCTGGAGTGTGACAGGAGCTCTGAGCTGAGCTTAGGGCAGGCAGTTGGGATGGTGGAGGGGGGTCTAGGGTCCGGCTCTGGGAGGGTGTTTGGATGCAGGGTGCTCAGGACTAGGGCAAGGGCTTGGGGTGCAGGAGGGGGTTCACGACTGGGGCAGGGTTTCAGGATGTAGGCTCTGACCAGGCACTGCTCACCTCCGGTGGCTCCTGGGGGGTGGTGCAGTGGGGCTGAGGCAGGCTCATCCCTGACCTGGCCCTGCACCACTCCCCAAAGCAGCCCGCAAACTCCCTCCCAAGCCCTGTTGTGTCCCCCCTCTGCTCTGTGGAGAAAGGATACAGAATGGGAGGGGCACCTCCCTCCTTGCCCTACCCAGAAAGCAGGAGGCTCCCAGGAGGGCAGGAGATGCGCAGCAGTGGGAGGAGGGGCAGCTGAAGTGCCGGCACTTGACAGCCTCTTGGCCAAACCAGTCAGGATCCCCTGTCGGAGGCACCAAGATCTACCCGTAGATCCCGACCTACTGCTTAGTGACCTCTGGCTTAGGGTTAAGGGTTCTGGAGTGTGAGAGGGGCTCTTGACACTCTCCCATTGGCTGCCCTCCTCCTGCGTCCGGCTCCCTTCTTGCAGGCATCCCTGTGGGTGTCGGGGAGCGACTGGCCTGATGTGAGACTAGAAGCCACTCGGGAGGGGCAGTGTGGTCCAAATGTGCACAGGCAGCGATCTAAGGCACCCAAACAGACCTGCTGCCCTTGGCTGGCTGGTTTCACTTCCCTCTCGAAGGAGGCATTGTCTTTCCAAAAGCCTTGGGAGTGGGGAGTTTACACTGTGCTGCCCGTCCTCCTTACAAACTGATTCCCCCACAAGTTTTGAAGAGGGTGGTTTCCATCTGCTGCCTCCTCCCTTCACATCTGCAGCTTTCAGTTCCCCCGACTCACGAGGGAATAAGGGAAATTAAGCACAATTGAGTCAACTGCTCCGTCCAGGAACCCGCCGGAAGAGTTTCTGTGAATTCGCTTGAAGTTCACAGTGATACACGCCAGTGGACTGCTGCGGAGGCATTGGGTGGGCCTGGATGCTTTGCTGTGAATATTGGTGCAGTCATAAGTGCTTGTAAAGTAATGCACATCGGGAAAAATAACCCCAACTATACGTACAGTATGATGGGGGCTAATTTGGCTACGACAAATCAGGAAAGAGATCTTGGAGTTATCGTGGACATTTCTCTGAAAACTTCCACGCAGTGTGCAGCGGCGGTCAAAAAGGCAAATAGGATGCTAGGAATTATTAGGAAAGGGATAAAAAATAAGACCCAGAATATCTTACTGCCCCTGTATAAAACTATGGTACGCCCACATCTTGAATACTGTGTACAGATGTGGTCTCCTCACCTCAAAAAAGATATTTTGGCCTTGGAAAGGGTTCAGAAAAGGGCAACTAAAATGATTAGGGGTTTGGAATGGGTCCCATATGAGGAGAGGTTAAAGCGACTGGGACTTTTCAGTTTAGAAAAGAGGAGACTGAGGGGGGATATGATATAAAATCATGAGTGGTGTGGAGAGGGCCGATGAAGAAAAGTTATGTATTAGTTCTGTAAGTAGAAGAACTAGAGGACACCAAATGAAATTAATGGGTAGCAGGTTTAAAACTAATAAAAGAAAGTTCTTCACACAGCGTGTAGTCAACCTGTGGAACTCCTTGCCAGAGAGGGCTGTGAAGGCTAGGACTATAATAGAGTTTAAAGAGAAGCTAGATAATTTCATGGAGGTTAGGTCCATAAAAGGCTATTAGTCAGGGGATAAAATGGTGTCCCTGGCCTCTGTTTATCAGAGGCTGGAGAGGGATTGCAGGAGACAAATCGCTTGATCATTGTCTTCAGTCCACCCTCTCTGGGGCACCTGGTGCTGGCCACTGTCGGTAGACAGGATACTGGGCTAGATGGACCCAGTACGGCCGTTCTTATGTTCTTGTGTTCTTGTCTGCTGCCTAAGGCTTTCTCCAGCCCTCTGCTCACTGGGGAATTTCCCCCTGGAAGTTGTAAGGTGCTTTGAGATCTTCAGAGGGAAGGTGCATCCACTGGAGAATGGCTTAATTAGTGTTTTGGGAATAGAGGACTCATTTCTTGTCAATTTCCAGAACAGCTGATAGCAGAATTGGAAACACTTGAAAAT